CACCCTAGGACGGTAAGTCTTAGGACACTAAGTGCTTTATTTTCAGGATCACAAGGGAAAAATAAAGGGGGAAAAAGACTAAAAATGCAAAATAATTCAGCCACCAGATCTAAGGACTAGTAAGCTGAAATATTACATTTTGGTTTTTGGGTTTAGATAGACTGTTGTACAAATTGTTCTAGGAACTTAATATTTCTTATGGCCACCAGAGGACAGCAGTGTTCTAGGGACGTAATTTTCCCTTTGACCACTAGAGGGCAGCAGTGTTTTAAGAACATAATTTTCCCTTTGACCACTAGAGGGCAGCAGTGTTCTAGTAATTTAATATTCCTTTTAACCACTAGAGGGCAGTGGTGCATTCTCCAGTTCCAGCACTTATACCGCATATCACTGTAATGTTGTACTGGCGCAGCCATAGATCACTGCAGAAATGCTTGAGCTTAGACAAAGTCCACCTTTTAGAAAAATAAAATATTAAATGCAGACTTCTTCATAAAATAAATAAATGAGCAATTATTATTAGGGATGCACCAACACTGGTTATTCGGTATCGAGTACGGGTACCGATTTTTATTTTTTTCCGGTACTCGCCGATACCGGAATTACCATTAAGGAAGCCAGGCGGCGTGTAATGATTCACCACCCAGCTTCCTGATTAGCAGGGAAGCCGTCTCCATGCTCCCTCATCAACAGGTGACGAGGAAACATGGAGCCGGCTTTCTGGCCAATCAGGAAGCCGGGCGCCGTGTAATGACTCCCTGCCCGGCTTTCTGATACCGGAAGCACAGGTATTGGGCTAGGCATCGGAGCATTTGGGTGAGTACTCGACATTGGCCCCGATACTAGTATCAGTGCATCCCCAATTATTATTATTATATTTTGCCAAGGAGCCAGTAAAGCACTGATTCAGCGGAAGGCGGGTGCAATGCTCTGGCTCCTGCAGACTCTTCCTTCCCATCCAGGTCCGAACCTCAGTATGGACGGCAGTGATGTCACCACGCTTGAGAATTACTACCGCGGCGGCTGCTGGGATTTGCAGTTTCTCCGTTACTGATCCTGGCAAAGGATCTGTGGATGGATGATGCAGCTGTGTGGGCGGAGCCATGAACCACGGCTGCGCCGAATGCAAGGCCAGGCACCAGCCTGTGGGAAAAAGAACCCTGCGATTCAGGTAAGTGTGTGGGAGGGGGATGGGGGAAGTTGCACTGTAAGCGTGTTTTATGTTACACCCTGAATATGGGCAGAACGGTCTGCAGCAGACCTCCACTTACCAGCTTGGAGAAGGGAGGATCAGGACCCAACCCGGTTCTTATCCTTCCCCACTAAAAATAAGTTTTAGCTGGACATACACTTTAAGGATTGGCTGAGTCTTCCATCATATTCAGTTGCTTTGCACATTCGTGTTCACTTCCTCCTCTCCTCTCCTCTATAACACAGGGGGAAGGGATTCTGTAGTCCTCAGAGGAAACACTGTAAGTGATAACAATGCAGCACAGGCAGAGAGCACAGGAAGTTATCAGCTCACAAGGTTTCTGGCGGGATATTCTTTTTTGGCAATGCTTTTGTAGCGCTCACCCCCGAAGGAGCCGCTGGATGAACAGGTCCATATCTAGTCAGTCTAGGGATAGATCACCAACTGCCCCATTAGCTTTAACCGCCCTCTTCTTGTGCCCATAAATTGAAGTCCGCTCCAGTTGTTATATGCTGGTTAAACAGTTTATTCACTTCTAATTAGGGAGAGAGGGTATAGGGTCTAGGTGCACCGGCCTCCATAGCTCCAGACTCACCAGATCTTATCTTCGTGAAGTACATCTCCACAATCCTTGGAAGGACACTGACCCCACTCAGAAGTCTCTCTGAATACCAGGCACTTCAAAAGCCCACACGGGTCCTGGTTCTTCCATTCTTACAGGCATTCTCCTGACTGCAAACTCTCAAGGAGGCTTCTCCTTCAGCAGCTCAGCCAACTCCCACCCCCAGGCCTCGGCCTAGCCTAGGGGCAGGCTGAACAGGACCCAACCTCAGTCCATGGCTGGTCCAGGCAAGAGAGCGAGCACATGGCCTCCCACCGATATATATATCCTTTGTCAGCAGACATCACTGGCTACAAAAAGCCCAGTAACTGGCTGCTGCCCTGTACACATATCACAGTGTCACCCATTGGCTGTCCCATAATGTGACAGAGTCTCACTCCGCCCTAGGGGGTACAGACAAGGTTGGACACCTGGGATTAACCATGTATTGGCTGCTACAAAATTCAACCAGGCTGCCTACAGCCCTGGTTATCACTAAATAGATAGTAAGCACTTCACCAAAGGTGATGGGCACTACACTTTCCATTGTAAATGTAAAAAGGAGCTCCTTTTTGGGGTGTACACCCCCTAAAATCTGCAAGTCCTGACCTGTACCATGCACAGGGGCGTCCCGAGGCCGGCTGTCACCCGGAGCGGCTACCGGGTTACACCCCGCCGTGACATCATCTCGCATGTGCGGTGATCTTATCGATACCTGCCGGTGGCCATCTTGGTGATGGACGCCGGCAGAGAGAGGAGGGGACAGTCACCCGGCGGGATAAGGTATGCCATCGGGTCCTCTCCTCTCTCCCGAAACTGTCAGGCGCTTGGTCCATGACCAAGTGCCCGACTTTTCAGAGGGGGGTGACACCAGAATGACTGTCAGTCGTTTTGGTGTCACCCCTCCGATGGTGTCAACCAGGGTGCAGGCTGCACCCTCCTTGTGACGCCACTGACCATGCATGACATTTACTGCATGAGAACCAACCGCTCACATTGTCATCACGATCAGAGCTGTGAAAATGTCCCCCTCATGTGTACTCCTGTCTGTAAAAACCCGACGTGAACCTAACTAATTCATCTGTCCATAATGATCTATAACAAAAATGCTTGCATGGAGCCTGGGCCCCCCCAGCCACCTGGGCCCCTTACACCAGTACTGGCCATACCCCCCCTGATGGCAGCCCTGTACCTACTACACTTATATGACACCCCGTTTATCAGACAGACTCTGATGACATTTTGGGGTAAATATCTGGGTCTGCGCAAATTACATAAACTGCATATAATTAATTGATCATTTCTATGGATTGTCACATTTTAGAGGTCACAGGTTTTCAAATCTAATGTTTTTTTTGTTGTTTATCTTTCACTCTTCTATTGTATTTGGGAATTTTTTGTCTTTACAACATTATTTATAATAATAGTATAGTAATAATAATTAGCGATGCACCGATACCGTTTTTTCGGTATCGAGTACTGATATATTTTTTTTGGGGTACTCGCCGATACCAAATACTGATACCAGAAGTCCCATTGAGGAAGCCAGGCAGTGTGTAAAGACTCGCCACCCAGCTT